GTGAGCAGTTAGAAAACTAGCTGTTATGAAATAGACCCGTCGAAATAGTGTACATATTAGCTATTTTCCGTTGGAATAGTGTACATGTTATCTTATTTCCATTTCCAGTATTTAAGTAAATGTCTTTGTACTTTTACTTTCATTTATTTTTATATTACTCCATTTACTTAAGTTTACAATGTAAATAAAGAACTACCCCCATTTTGATTCAAAGAAAAATACTAGAAAATCAAATTCCGACCAAATCAAAATATGAAAAATAGGTTTTAGTTCAACATACGATTTAGACTAAAAATTGTTAATGTATGGTTTTTACTATTTTCTTTTGGCTTCCTTTGACAACTTTGTAATAGGATGTGTAATGTAATTTATCAAGCTCAAGTCTAGATTAGGGAAAACTTTTATTGGTGCTCTTCTCTAATCTCTGCTCTATGGTGGCTCAAGCAAGTTGACAAAGGTATTGAGCATTGCATATCATTACATTAAACAGTCTTCATAAAATGATGACTAGTCATCCGTTTCTCATATGACTAGTCATCCTTGCTTCCAGCTGGATAACAAACTGTTTTGTCCTATTTTTCTTTCTCTCTCTCTGCTAGATGAAAGATGGGTTTCTGGGTGAACAAAATACTTAAATCATCTCTCATTTATATCTAGGTCAGATTCAAGATTGATTTCTTCAAGAGTATGGTTTCTTGAAGAAATTGGTCATTCTCCTTTGAATCCAAATATTGGTTTCAGTCTGTGTTGGAGCTTGCAAGCTAGTGTCATGGGATGAACGAGCTGGAGAAGGAGCTGTCATTGCCATGAAGAACTGAGCTTCAAGTTTTGCTAAGTTGGAGAAGAAGATTGCACAAAGGAGGTATTGCTCATATTCCTAAATAGACCTAGGTGCTTCTTGAGCTTGGTTGTGTTTCCTTTGTAAGAATCTTTTTCTACTTAGTGGAGTGCCTGGTCGGTTGATGACTCCCAGTTTTTCCCAATGGTGGGTTTCTGGGTAAACAAAATCTGTTTTGCATATCTGTAATTTTTTTGGGTTTTTGTTCTTGGTGGTTGACTAGTCATCTTTATCTGCTGTTTGATGTTTACATGATAATGATGACTTCACACACTTTCACCATAGTTGTTGCTAGCATAGGGGATGCCTAGATTGACGGGTCCTTTTGATTGCCTAGGTTGTCACTAGTAATCTTCTAGGATTGCAGGTACATTGTGGCATGCTCTGTGTATTCTCTTGGTTGTGATTGTTTCATGACTAGTAGTTGACTAGTCATATGTGTATTTGGTCAAGGTTTAAAGTGTGTGAAGATTGCTGTGTTGTTGTGTCTTGTTTATGTGATTAAATTTACCCCTCGTCACCTAAGTACCATTTTCAAAAATGATGGCTTATTAAGTCAATATATACTTCATATAAAAATCTCATAAAATCAAGTTTTCTTATTTGATGTGTACGGAATAAAAGCCGCCCAAAAATTATCTTGAGAAAATGATTATTCTAAACAACCATTTTTCATACTTCGCCAATATTTTATAAAAAAAAATTTCATGTAGGATATGAATGCATGAAACGACCTAAAGTCAATCTAGGTAAAGAGCCTTAGATGTTCAATCCACAAAGAGTTTTACAAAAATAAGCTAACTCTTTTGTATTGAAGAAATATTTGCTTGAGTGTGTAATTGGTACTGAGGTGACGAAGGTAAAATTACAAGCTATTCAAATAGATACGATAATCTTCACACACTTTAAACCTTGACCAAATGTACTTATGACTAGTCAACTGCTATTCATGTAAAACCATAACCAAGAACACATACACAGAGCATACCAATCTGTACCTGCAAGCCTAGAAGATTACAACCTAGGCACTCAGAAGGACCCATCAATCTTGGCATCCCATGTGCTAGCAAAAACTATGGTGAAAGTGTGTGAAAGCATCATAATCAAGTAAGCAACAACCAATAGATAATGATGACTAGTCAACCGCAAGAATATAAACCCAGAAATACATGAACATCATGCGATGACTAGTCAACTATCAAGAACACAAACCCATAAAATATCATATCTGCAAAACAGAAATTGTTCACCTAGAAACCCATCACTGGAAAAAACTAGGGGTCATCAACCGACCAGGCAGCAAAGAAGATTCTTACAAAGAAACACAAGCAAGCTAAAGAAATCCTAGATCTATTTAGGAAGATGAGCTGTACCTCCTTTGTGCAATCTTCTTCTCCAATTTAGCAAAGCTAGCAGCTTAGTCCTTCTGGCAATGACAGCTCCTTCTACAGCTCTTTTATCCCATGGCACCAGCAAGCCAGCTCAAACTCAAACAGAAACCAAAAATTTGGATTCAAAGGAAAAGTGACCAATTTCTTCAAGAAACCATATGCTTGAAGAAATCAATCTTGAATCTGACCTAAATGTATATGAGAATGTGTTTGTTCTAGCTAGATGCATATTTCACATTTCAAAAGTAGTTTTCAAAAATCAATTTAGAAAACTCATAGATGAAAATGGGGGTTTTCTCTCGAGGAAGAAGAAGAAGCAAAAGGATAAAGAAACCTTTTCAAAACCTCACCTCAAAATTGACGGCTACCCAATGAGGAATCATTTGGTTTTTACCCAAAAATTCCTAGGTCATAATAGTACACATGACAGCTGAGAAAATTCGTAGAATAAGACAAAAAAGTTTGGTAGGATCCAGCTGAAAAATTACTGATGCAAAAGATGACTAGTCATACGAAAACAAGATGACTAGTTATAATCTTAAGAAATCTAATGAATGCAATATGATACAATGCACAAATTACTTTTGCCAATATGATTGATCTTACATAAGATAACAGCCATATAAGAACACTTATTGCAACTATTCTTAATCTAAACTTGAGCTTGGGTAATTACAATGTATGTACTATTACAATATTGTCAAGGGAAGCCAAAAGAAAAACTAAGATGCATACACTTACAGAGCGTCGGCTTCTTGCTCAGAGTTCCAAATGTCTTCCAGTGTGTACAGTAATTTTGATCCATTTGGGAATACCGGCTCCTTACAACTTATCACACTTGAAATATATTATATAAAAGAACAATTTGTTATCATCAAAATATGCACAACAATATTAAAAACTGTAAGGCTAACATATTCAACTAAAAATTAATTTGATAATGGATGGAGTTGCTCATGATAATACAATATTATCAAAAATATCAGTTGTGTACAATGCTCACCACACACCCACGCAAGGGCAGAGCTATTCATAGGCCTAAGATGGCCTAACCCCCTACCATCTTCTCACCTTTTTGACTGTATAAAGAGTATAGTATAGATTACACAAAAAATCCCGTAGTTTTAAGCTGTGCCCCCCCCCCCCCCCCCCCCCCCCCCCCCCCCCCAAAATAAATTAAACCTCTGCCACTGCACCCACAGTTGTTAATGTTGCTAGTCATGTTGCATGATTAGTGGGAATATGCTATGTTAACTCTTGGTCAAGGTGCATAATGGGTGAAATGTAAGAACTAATAATTACCCACTCTGTCCAATTATCTTATAAAAGGTAAAGAGTATGCTTAATTATTCCAGGAGCAACATAGCTAATTTTGAGGGAAAGCTTATCAGTCATGAAAACTCTTAATATTTCCACCTCCTGCTTCCTCAAGTATTTCATTCGTTGCTTTCTTCTTCTATGCCTGAATCTATTCCCTTCGGAAACTGGCATTTCCTTGGCAGAAAGAGACATGAAAACTGGCCTTGCTGTTCAACATATTCATAGAGTTGAAGTCAAGTCTCTGCTACCAGAAACCACCTGCAGCCCCTCCACCAAAGGTTATTTACATAACTATGAAATGCCCTTACCTCTATGTGTATGTAGTCGTTAGAAGTAATGGAAAAGTAGATTGTCATTTTTCCATAACGAAAAGGCAATCTTTCCAGATGATGAAAAATTTTAAAATTTTGATTTTTCTTTTTCCGTTGATTTTTAGTAGCATATACTCGATGAGATGACTTTTTAAATTATTGCGACATGGGTTTTATTTAAAGATAACAACTAACTAGCAATTGGTGGCAGAGGTGGATTAGACCAGTTCGTCACGATAGTGATCTTGTCCCCATGCACTCAAGTTCGAATCTCCCCTTCCGGTAGATTAGATTAATAGAGTAATTTAGATTATTGCTTTTATATATTTTTTTTAAACTACAATTGATAAAAGCTGAAAAAAAAAGTCATAATCTTATATATTTTGGTTCATGAAATATGTGCTAATTTTAATCTAAATCATAAACTGTTATAAGCTTGAAAGAAAAAATAATAATAATTTCCTTCAGGACCTCATGAGTAATGTTATATATGTGAAATTAATTATGAATATTTGATCATTTGAATTCAAAATCACCTATTTCAATCCAGGTGAGGAGAATAAAGCATCAGCACTAAAAGTGGTTGTAACATCCCATATTGACCAACGAAGAAGGGGTAATGTGTCTTATATATACATGCCCACCTCCATCTAGCATGAGGCTTTTTGGGAGCTCACTGGCTTCGGAGTCATGGGAACTCCGAAGTTAAGTGAGTTGGAGCTAGAGCAATCCCAGGATGGGTGACCCACTGGGAAGTTGCTCGTGAGCTCTTAGAAACAAAACCGTGAGGGCAAAGAGGGGGGCCCAAAGCAGACAATATCGTGCTACGGCGGAGCCAATCTCGGGATGTGACGATGGTACACAAACATGACCCTTGCTCCGAACTCAACCAAATACACGAATAAAATACTCCCAATCATACTCAGGTCCTCGACCGAGACCAAGCCCGGGTCAAATTAATCCACTCTCGGCTTGGTTCAAAGAAAATGAACAGCGACGATGCCACCACAATGCCAGTCAATTTCGGTGACATAGTGAGTTCTGGGCACACCTCAGAAGCAACTTTCGCTCATATTTGACACAGGAAGCGACCTCTCCTGGACTCAATGTCGGCCATGCATTGGATCTTGCTACAAAAAAATGGAGCCCCTCTTTGACCCTTCCATCTCCACTTCATATGTCAATATTTCCTGTAAATCCAATGTCTGCTCTCAGCTCACTCCAGTCACACACAAAAGACCTCGTTGCTCAACTGACAACTCTACGTCTATATACGACATGCAATATGGAGACAAATCATTCTCTGTTGGATTTTTCGGCAAAGAAAGGCTCACCTTAACTTCAACTGAGGTGTTCGATGAGTTCCTCTCTGGATGCGGCCAAATCAACCAAGGCAACTTTGGGAGGCTCCGCCGGGTTTCTTGGACTTGGGCGCCACAACATCTCCGTCCAACAAACTGCAAACAAGTATGGCCGCATTTTCTCTTATTGTCTACCTCCACTTCAAGCTCCACCAGTTACCTTGGTTTCGGCAAACACCGCAGAGCTTTTAAGCACGTAAAGTTCAGGCCCCTCACCATTGTCTCTCAAGACCCATCTTTTTATGGCCTCAACCTGGTCGGTATCAGTGTTGGTGGACATAAATTGTGGATTTCACCTTCGGTTTTCTTATCTTCTGGGACCATCATTGACACGGGGACGGTCATAACCGTCTTGCCTGCGGCGGCTTACAGTGCTTTGCGGGATGTGCTTCGTCAAGCGATGACAAAATATCCGTTAACTCAGGCGCTTTCGGTACTGGATACATGTTATGATCTTAGTAGTTATGTGACAGTGAAGTATCCACACATAGCGTTTTACTTTCAGGGAGGGCTGAAGTTGAAGTTGGATGCTACGGGTATATTTTACTCATCCAGTGCTTCCCAGGTTTGCTTGGCCTTTGCTGGAAATGATGCTAATAATAAATTTGCAGTACTTGGGAATGTTCAGCAGAAGACGTTCGAGGTTGTGTATGACGTTGCTGGGGGGAGGGTTGGATTTGCCCGTGGAGGTTGCCTTTGAGAACGCATGCATGCAACAAGCTCGCTCCCCGAACTATGTACAACTCTAATGGCAATATAGAACTACAATATGCGAGACTAGTGAACAATGATTTCACTCATAAATAAGGAAGTTATTGTAAAGAGACATTCTCACATGTTTCTACAAATAACTCAATTAGAATCGTTATGATATTAAGAGCTCATTATGTTTACATTAAATCAATGTGAAAACAACATATCGAATGGGTCTTTAAAAGAGAATTCTAGCTACATGGATGCGCCCAAAGGCTTCTCATCAATGAAAAGGAACCCACGGGTAAACGACATGGATTATATTTCTTGGATCTAAGGTATATTATTAATACTTAAATACATTATTATAATATAAGTGAATTTGTAACATCACGTGGCGGTGTGACAGTACCGTTGAAAAACTTCTCATTTGGCACCACTTCCTGAGGTAGTAGATATTCATTTCTCCATCTATACTATTATTTAAGAGAACCTACATTTTGTTTTATTTATCTGGTCTTTCAACCCAGTTTAGAAACTAAAGATTACTGGGGCAGTGCAAAAGGGATTTGAATTCTTGGATTTTCATTACCCTATGGCATTTTCAATATTCATGTTGTGAATAGGTTTCTAGAGATGATTTGCAGCTTTGTCTGGACTTCAGGAAAGTGCTGCCACTTCTCCTGCTAGCCATCATGATTCATGTTGGAGCAGTAAGTTTTGTTCCAATATTTTGATCACCATTTTATTTTTGGTTAATTTTATATTTCATAAGGTTGCTTGCTGCAGAATGTGGTGGTGGTGATGGTTCACAAAGTTCAGATCAAGAACTTGCTTTGTCGAGAGCTGTCGATGCTATGGCCCTTAGCACCCTTAGCATGGACAAGGATTTAGAGTCTTCCCAATCTAAGAAAGAAAGCATCGTGTAAATAGGAAAATGAATGCCGGGTGAAACAAAACATTGAAGCAACAGATGAGCATTTGGAAAGTTCGCTGAAGAAATACAAACCACGAGAGAGGAGTGGAAAAAAGTGCTTTGTACGCGCAAAAACGGAAATTTTAATGCCTCCATGTATGAGAAAGTATTTAAAGTTTATTGTCATGATCATGCATACCCCACATATATTACTGTTGACCCATTTAAGGTTCAATAATCCTTTTATATTTGTATTTTTTTTCAATAGAACATTACTGAAAAGGATAGAATGATATATATGCTCTGAAGGAGACAAAATAACCTAACCCTTAAAAGAGAAGCTAACATAGAGCGGTTTGTTACGAAGAAAAAAAAACATAAAAGAGTTTGTAGCTCAAGTGATTAAGAACATTTATCGATGCATTAGGTTCCACTACCCCTCCCTTGGTATTGCTTATAAAAAAAATTCTTAATAATAACAACATAGAGAAAGTAAAATACACAAAATCATCAAGTAAACTTGTAGCTTAGACATGTCAATGGATCATATTTTGATATGATTTCAGTGTAATTAATAGGAAATGGATTGGACTTCTCAATCCAATAATCCGAATTTGATAATTCAATTATAAATGGATCCAGATATGGATTATAGTTGATCCGATCCCATAATAATTCGATTCGACTTAGTATCAAGTATAATTTAGTTTTTTTTATGCTTTATATTAATATTTTATATGGATAAATGAGTCATTTTAGTTTTATATGCACTAAGAATACACTTAAAATATCAAAGTTTGATATAAAAAGTAGATAAATACAATAAATACTAATGAAAATTTGATTTTTTGTACATCTCAAAATAAATTTGATAATAATATGATTCGATTTGAATTCAATGCGTAAAGAATATGGATTGATAAGTACAATCTGATAGTATGAATACGATCCAAATCCATAATCCGATTATAAATGAATTCGAATTTAAATTCAAATATATCTTATCCAAAGCGGACCAGTTTACGGTCCTAGATAGGATCCTCGAAAGATCCTGCGAAGTTATCAACACTTAATGTTGGAAGAAGTCCAACTAATTAATTAATTTACTATGACCATCCAATACACAATTGCCATTATTGCAAACTCATCATACTATAATCATCATTACAAAAAGAGAAACTGGCAAATGAACAACCAATCACACAATAAACAAAATCCCATGCATACTTGGCCAATTTACACTCGTTTTCCTTAATAAGTATCAATTGCACTTAGCATTGATGTAGTGCGCCAGCGCCTCCCCCAACCCCACGGCGAGACCAACGAGGCTTTCGCTTTGGTTTTATTAGTGGAAATTTACATTTACATTTATGCACTGGTAGGGTTTAGGTAGCTTAGGATGTTTGCCACTTTATCAATTAGCAGTGATGGCTAGCTGATTAATGAATGAAGCAACAGTCTCTTAGATTCCCTTCTACTTTTTAATTTAATTGCTCCTGCACTACACACACATTCACATGCATGGAGTCTTTAAGGTTGTATAATAAGGAATACTTGTATGACCCATTTCACCGTTATTATTTATAAATCATCTCTGCAAAAAAAAACAAAAAAAACAAAAATCACTTAAATCAGAAAAACACTTGTAGAAGAGTTTTTGAGATCAAGCACATGGCTTTTGTCAATCTCAGCCCATGTGCTGGCATGACGTATGCGACACTTGATATATTAAATAACACTTTAGGGAAGAAAAGGAGGGTAACGTATGACAATCTTGCAACTTTTTCAATGTGGTTGCCTTCCTGCCGCTGAGGCAAAGTGCTGGGAATCGTTGAAGACTTTGAAATAATGAGGTCTGGTCCTCTCATCTCCGCCCTCTCTTTAGACCTAATGTGGTTTACAATTTGGAACTTGGAATCAATTGTTCTTCGAAAAATCATCGACAAGAAAACGACTTGGAACTTTGAATTCACATGAAAGATGCACGGGTATCACGATGGAAAGCTTGTTGAATCATGATCAGCATTCCAAAGCCTAGAATGAAATTTCAGCCAGTCTTAATTTCTAAGATCTTCATTTCCCGGAAATGGGATCGCTCAGTCTTCAAGCACGCGTGGTCATCATATAATGATCATCTCAAGTGCCGCGAAAAGGTCTTCGCTTTGGTTTCGTTAGTGGAAGAAATCTCTCCTTGTGTGGTTATGGTTGTCTGCCACTTCCTCATTTTTCAATTTAATTACGATTTGCCTTGTAATAAACTTATCAATTTCAAGCTAGAAAGAAGGAAAGAAGTTATACCTTTAATTGCTCCTATGTCCGTGTGTGTATATTTATATATATATCCAATCCCTGTGAGCAACGTAAATACAAGAAACAAAAGCTAGCAATGCAGCCGTATAACTCAATGGCTCATATCTTCCTTCTCATCCTCTTATTCTCTTCTATTATCTCTACAAATATTCAAGCATGCAACCAAATTGAGCGCAGCTCTCTACTCTCCTTCATCCTCACTCTATCTTTAAACTGGACTTTGGTTAACTGTTGTCATTGGAAAGGCATCACTTGTAATCAGGATGGTTGGGTTAGCCATTTGCTCTTACCCTCCAAAAAGCTCAAAGGAGCAATTTTTCCTTCGTCATCATCACTTGGAAATCTCACACATCTCACCCACTTGAATCTCTCTCACAATTCACTCTATGGATCACTTCAAACTGGATTCCTCTCATCCTTCAATCATATCGAGATCCTTGATTTGAGGCATAACCTTATTTCTGGAGAGCTACCACTTCATCTACCATCTAGCTAATATTCGAGAACTGGATTTGTCAAGCAATCACTTCCATGGTGCAATTCCATCTTCACTCTTCCGACAAGCTAGGAATTTGACTAGTTTCAATGTCAGCAACAATATCTTCTCAAGGTCTATCCCATCCTCTATTTGTCTCAAACATTCTTCTCCATTGACTAGGCTTTTGGATTTTTCCTCCAATAAATTTCGTGGCAGCATTTCTCGAGGACTAAGGGGAATGTTCGGAACTCCAGGTTTTTCGTGCTGGACACAATAACCTTTTTGGATTTCTTCCAGAAGATATCTATAATGCTACTAAACTTGAAGAATTGGCACTCAATTCACTATATAGACCCATTAGTGATAGAATTGCCAACCTCACAAACCTTGCAATCCTTGACCTCTACTATAATCAATTGAGTGGTGTCCTCCCTCTGAATTTTGGGAAGCTGTCCAAGTTGAAACTCCTGAACCTTGATTTCAACAAGAAGGTGCTCTTCTTTGATGAATTGCACAAACCTCATTGAAATACATCTAGCATTCAACAACTTGGAAGGAGATATCACCACACTTAATTTCTCCAAACTCGGCCAACTTAGTAAATTTGATCTACTTGCGAATGAATTCACTGGTATCTTGCCAATAAGCCTTTACTCATGTCGGTCCTTAAATGCCATTCGATTGAGTGCAAATCATCTAGAGGGACAAATACAAGTTGAGATTCTTTCATTGAAATCTTTGTCCTTCCTCTCGCTTGGTCGCAATAGATTCACCAACCTCACAGGGCCATGAAGATATTAATGGGTTGCAAAAGTCTTCATGCACTCCTCCTTACTGGTTCCTTTAAAGGTGAAGGAATCCCAGCTGATAATGACATGGCTGATTTGGATGGATTCCAAAATCCTTGTCCTTCGTCTCTCTTGGTTACAACCGATTCACCAACATCACAGGGGCAATGAAGATGTTTAGGAGTTTCAAAAGTCTTCAAATACTCATTCTCACTGGTTCCTTTAAAGGTGAGGGAATGCCAGCTGATGATGACATGGTTGATTTTGAAGGATTCTAAAATCTTCGGTAATTGAATTTGGTTGATTCTAGCCACATGGGTCCAATACCCGTATGGTTATCTAAGTTGAGGCACCTACAGATCATGTTTCTGGTAGTTGATCAAATCACAAGGCCAATTCCAAGTTGGTTGGGGACTCTTCCTAGACTTTTTCATGTAAATTTGGCAAGTAACCGAATTTCATGTGAATTTCTGAAGCAACTTTGTAGACTATACCAAGGTTGGTATATGAACCTATTGCAGCTAAAGCGGACCAATATGAATTTGAATTGCCTATCTTCGGTCGTGGCCACGCCAAAAATCCAAGTTTTCTAGGCCACAAATTGTTTTTATTTTCAGCATCGGTAAATTTATCTGACAATAACATTGTTGGTGATATACCTACTGAGATCGGCCAATTGCGGCTTCTCTGGAATTTGCATCTTAACAAAAACAATTTTTCCGGCGTCATTCCAGACCAAATATTGAACCTCAAAATTTTAGAGGTTCTGAACCTCTCCATGAATCACTTTTCTGTAATAATCCCGTCGTTGTTGGCAAGTCTTAACTTCTTGAAATAATTTAGTGTCTCATACAACAATCTCGAAGGACCAATCCCAACAAGTACCTAGCTCCAAAGCTTCACTGCTTCTGTATTTGAGGGGAACCCAACACTTTGTGGTGCTCCACTTTCAATTAAGTGCGGACCAACGAAGGGAATTGATGTAGATAAAAAAAACAATAAAGACAACGGCATGGCATCATCAACTTCCATGGTTTTTATATTTCCGCTGCATTCGGGTTTATAGTGGAGTTTTGGGGAGTCTGTAGTTCTTTAATTATTAACAAGACTTGGAGATGCACATATTTCCTATTCGTAAACAATGTACAAGATAGGCTCTATGTGATGATAACAGTTCACATGAACAAGATAAAAAGAAGGCTTAGAGGCTAGATATATTATTCTACTTTTTATTTACATTTTAAGTTTGTTTTTGTTGGAGTTAAAAACTAGGCGGGTAGTAATTAGGCCAACTTAAATATGAGATGTATGTTGAAGGTGAGGACCCTTAGTATGTGAGAGCATTCGGTAAGTAATAGATATGCATACAGAAGACAAATGTATGTGGTTCACCTGAATAATGGGCTACATCCACGGAGATGTATGTTCTCATTATGATAATGTGTGTATATATTGTACTTGTGGTTAGACCCAAGGAGAAGAGGAAGAATGCCGAAGGCTGAAGGTAGGAAAGCTAGGGCTGAAGGCTGAAGGCCGAGGATCTGGTCGAAGGCCAGATCCGTGAGCTTGTAAATAGGCTCATGGGTAAGCCCATGAGGCCCCAGTGAGCCATATGGAGCCCCAATGACCTGCCTCACTCTCCCCCCTTTCTTGAAGGAGAGACGTCTCCTTTTATAAGTGAGGGAGAATCCCATCTTCTTATGTTTTGTCGATGTGGGACTCCCATTCCTTTGCTTGGATTGGCTTGGGAGTGCTTGGCCAGATATTGTACAAACAGTTTTCATTTTCCTTTTTCTTCATTTTCTTTTGCGCTCCTAATGTAAAAAGTCACCGTTTGTTGTTATAATTATGTCTTCTTTTTCTGATGTGATTTCTTCACGCTACCTTCAGCTACATATTATGTAGAGATTTGGCCAAAATCGTGAAATTTTGGAAAACTGAATTATGAACCAAACTCATCCGAACTCATCCATTCCCCAGCAACCAAACCCAAGCTTTTTGGTGGCTCTCTGAAACATCGAGTTTCAATTCAATGCAAAACATAGACAAATAAATAATTCCACGATGCAATTACATTCCTAACCTCATTTCCACAAAAATAAAAACTCATAACCTAATTTCCACAAAATTTAATAAAACATGAAATATATAAAGAAAGAGAAGATGAAGACAAGATAAGAGAAGCATATTGGAGAGAGTATGAGAGAGAAAGAGATGGATACCTGGAGAAGAGTGAAGAGAATAACCTGTGAAGAAGATAGCAAAGAAGAACCCTAGGGAGAAGAAGATGGAAATATAATTTTTCACATGAACGTGTATGTTCTTTTTCCCTAACCGTATAATTAAGCATGTATTATCTAAACCAGGATGTGTGAGTTGTATTAGTTAGTCAGGTAATGAGAGTATTAAAAGCCAACCCATTTAAAGTAGTCAAGTAATTAAATAGTACAAGTTGATATGAAACAACTGACATAGACTATTTACTCATATCTAGAGTCTAATACGGTGTACCGAATGAGCCCTAAGTCTTATAAAGACCCCATGACACTCTTAACTTTTCCAAGTTGGACAAATTAAACTCGAACAAACTCTATAGCCAACAAAGCTTAATTAGGAATAAGTGGTGGATTATGGAAGTGATGGGGTATACAAGCAAAAAGTCCAGAGTGGAGATCGTGTACAAGCACTCGGTGAAATTTTTTTCATTTTTTACTTTCGCTGGGTGAGGTGGGAAAAATCTAACCTAGAATGTCGTCCAATCCGACATATAAGTGAATAGAACTGTAATTAATGACAATTAAAATAAAATAAAGAATCACTGTCCAATCTAAATTAATGACAGAAAAGTAAATAAATGGTAATTAAAAAATGTCCCTGACGATAAAAGTGATCGTCCACTAAATTAAATTAACACCCCTAAATTAATTTATTCCTTCTTTTAATCCCACTTAATTAAATTCACCAAAGATACCATCAGTCTTATCTGACTAAATGTCTGGCTGAAGTCCTCATCCAAACTAAATGGAATGAAGAGACGTGAGTCACACAATTAACTACGTCATCGAATCCGACAGGCTCTGTTGTCTATCTAATTTCTAATCATTTCTGTTCTTTGTTGTCGAAAATTGCTTTAGATAGAAACTCAAAAGACACGGGCAGGCAAAAGCCAAGAAACAACAAAACTACGAGTGCAGGTTTTGTTCCATAGAATTTTAGCAGTACTACGGATGACTCTCTTAAACAAAAATTTCAGATAGTGTTCAGGTTAAATATTTTAAGATATTAAATAATCTTATCTCAAAGTAAAATGAGAAATACTCAAGGATGAAAATGTCAGCGGATATCCCAATATATTGGTTGATATTTTCCTTTTTTAAGGTGTAAATACAAATACAGGGTGTAAGCCTATTTCTTTTCCCTTATCGGCAATAGATCCTTGATAACTCCTGATATCCTCCATATTTACCAATATTTCTCGATACCAGAGAAATAACCCAAAAATGTATCTTCAGTTTTGAAAGTAATCATAGGTCTCATCCATTGAATCAATGTCAAAAACCAAGCTCTAATACTTAGTAGCTCCTCCTTTCTTCTCTTCTCAGTCATTTATGCTATCTTTGGCTCTTCCTCTCCTTTCTCTAGTTGCTCGGTTTCTTGTGTGTTTGATTTTACTTTTCACTTGATTTTCTATCTCTCATTTCCTTTATCATTAAGTCTGACTCTTGTAATATAATGTTGAGTTATGTATTAATGGGTTGGGTTGGGTTATGTTTGAATAATGTTGTCTTTGTTGTGTTAAGTCTAATTGTATTTATTTTCAAGATTTTCATCGCGCATTATATGTACGCACATTTCATCATGTGCATATCTTATACTTGGTATATTTTGAATTTTATTTGTTCAATACATTCATTAATAATGTGCTTAATATCTATGAAAGTTTCACTTCAAAATTCTGTATTTTTAAGTCAATATATGGGTTTTTTGTCGATTTTCCCCGATAACAAAAACATCAATATATCCCCTATAATATCCATAAATTGAAGGCCTGATACTGTATCGCCGATATTTTCATCCATAGCTATACTATTGGTGATTCTAATGTGAATGTGATATCATATCCTATAATATTGTTAAGTCTTCATACCATATATTCTTCAAATTAAAGACAGATAAAAACAGACTTGAGACATTTCACTCCAGTCCAAGATAGTTGACAGACGGCAGCTAGTGAGTCCTGAATCCCTGATCCTATTGAACGAATTCGATATAAGGGTTCAGGTTCAGCAAATGCAAAATGAATATTACATAACATTAATGTTGAGATCAGGCATGGCTCTTGTCAATCTGAGGCCATGTCTGGTATGTCGTATTTACGACACTTAATCAGAACAAATTAGACCAAGTAAGTTTTTAGAATCGGGGAATTAGAACTCAGAATAAGCCCTTTTGACCAAAAATAGAATTGCTTGAAGATTGCGATATTGGATAGTATTAAATAACACTTCGGGAAGAAGAAGAGGACGGTAATCTATGACAATCTTCAAACTTTTTCAACGTAGTGGTTGCCTTCCACTGGGGCAAAGTGCTTGGAGTCGTCCCGCCTGATTTGAAATAAGGAGATCTGATCTGATCCTCTCATCCTGCAAAAAAGCTTGTATAAAACGGAGATAGCATTGTTTTGTTATTTCCAGTCAATCACAAACTGCCACATGAAAAGTTATCACGCATGACATGCCGTGATTGACCAGTGATAGCAAAACAATACTATCCCGGTTTCACACAAGTGTTTCTCGTCATGACCCCTCTTTAGGAGAAACACTTACATGAAACGGGGAAAGGCTAGTTTGCTATCCCCAACCAATCATGGTATGTCATGCGTGATAATTTTTCCATGTGGCAGACTGTGATTGGCCGGGGATAACTTCATACATGTTTTTTTGCCTGTCTACAATTTGGCTACATTAGTTGGAACCTCTCTTCAACGTATCTAAGAAAAATCATGAATTTTCAGCCATTTTACCCTTCAGACTATCACGCTAGTCATACTTAACCTCTTGAATTATTGTGTCCGTCAATTTAGTCCTCAAACTCATTATAAATATCCAATTTCTTCATTGTCATTAAATTTTTCGAATTCCATCCAATTTTCTATCACAACATCACATGCTTGGCATGTGCCCAATTTTTTTTAAAATAAAATAAAAAATAAAATGTTGTAAACAAATTTAAAAAAAAAGAAGGTGGGCGGTCATTTTAAATAATAAGTAGTTGTTAAGTTGAGTCCACTCATCGGAGTTAAGCAGGTGTAATCTTCTTGGGCTAAGTAAAATTATTGATGGGGGGATATTTCTTGATGTGGGGTAATATATTATTGTACAAGCATGAAACGTTTATCTATGGCTTATTTATGTACATGCCCTTTGTGCTTTCAAAGTTATCTCATATTACCATCTGTTCTTTGAAACATCTCAAAATACCCCCTACACTTTTTAAAACTATCTCACATTACCTGTTCCGTTAGCATCAAGAGACGTTCCGTTACTTGGTTTGGGCTCCACTTCTTTTCAATCACTTAACATTGGAGAATAAGGGTTATTCAGTTTCAGAAAAAATGGGTATTTGGGTGAGAAGGGGAAATTTGGAGAAGAAGGCTAGGGCTTATGAAAATCTGAGGTGGGGTTCAGATTTTGGGAGAATCTGGAGAAGAAATCACGGGTTTATAAAACTCTAAGGTGGAGTTCGAAATTGGGAGAATCTGGAGTAGAAGATTAAGGTTTATAAATCTCTGAGTGGAGTTTGGATTTGGGAAAGGGGGAAGGGGGTCACACGATTTGGGAGAAAAAAGGGAAAGGGGATTTCAGATTTGGAGGTTCAGCTAGTTCTTCTCTGTGTGAATACTGACTGAATTGAAGAAGATATGGAAACAGGAGAAGCAAGGCATGTCCAATGGAGGTTCATATCAGGCCTACCTAATTATTATTTGTTTTAGGTAAGAATGAGAGATGGTGGAGAGAAAAGTAGCAGACAACAAAGTATGCAACTAAGACAAAGAAAACAAGCAAGTGGTTCCCAAGAGCCTTCTCAATCCCAGGCATCTGAAGTAGCCCAGGGTTCTCAATCCCAACCATCTCATGCAGCTCAGGCTTCTCAATCTCAACCATCTCAAGCAGCTCAGGCTTCCCAAACATGTGATTCATCTCAATTTGCCAAACTATCTCGAGTACAACAACGTAGGAGGAGGATGAAAAATCAACAGAGGAGCCATTTTGTCAAAGATCCTTTTTTCCATTCTTAGATGTGATGATGTTGAATTTTTGCAACCTGTTTTTGAATTAGGATAAACTCTTTTTGAATGGTTTGAATGTTGTGGAATTATAGATTCTGCAATTGACAGGACCCGCCCCGAATTCATCGAAACCCGATACGAATCCTGTGGAATTCCCGACATCACCCCGATGTCGGGCCCACTCACTGAAACTATATCCTCTTTTTTCCCAGAGGAATAAGGGCACAAGACTTTCTGCCGAAATTTAGGCAGAGTCTCCCCTGTAATTTGCATTTTCCCCAAATTTTCAACCTGCATAAAATACATTTGATATCACCAACTGGCAGCATGCACAAGATAATTTCATGCAGTTCACATAAACGGCCTCCGGCCTTCAAATAATTTGAAAAAGGACTGCCAGCAATGTTCTTAAATCACAATAATGTATTAAGCAATGCAGATAATAAACTCAAACTTATTTATGAATACCCACTGCAAATAACATAAATTTGCTTCCCAAATTTTAACATGCATCAACTATCATCTAAGAATTATCACCAATAGTTCCAGGGCCTCAGCCCACTATACCACATGATCAAACTTAAAATAACATTTATTCCGAACTGGACCTCAGACAGGTCTGGACCAAACTCAATAAAACCACCCAAGTAAAGTTTAGCCCACGGCTGCACCTAGGCACAATCCTAGGCTGCCTACGTACCCTTACTAAGGGATCAAGCCACACGTTGTTCTTTCCTAAAACCTTTTTTCTTTAAATCACAACTCATCAATCACAATCTTTAATTTATCTCCCAAATACTCACAAAATCTCCACATACACCGAAACATCCAAAGCCACGTATGGGGCCTGTCCGCACTCTGGATAATCCTACGACACGTGGGACCTCATTATCATATCACAATATGTCCCCATATGCCGGTACTACCAACGCCACATATGGGGTCTGTCAACACGCCGGCTACTCCTACGACACGTGCGACCTCACAAGCATATCACAATATCTCCCCATATGCCGATACTACCAACGCCACATATGGGGTCTGTCAACATGCCGGCTACTCCTACGACACGTGCGACCTCACAAGCATATCACAATACGGTACTTACAGTGTCATCAAACACCTTTATAAAGCAAAATATATATATATATATATGATCTCCACATACTCAACATAACTCAACAATGCCCAGGACCTGTCCTTATAATCATTTTAATCCTCCTATGAAGGTAAGACTACCCCAGAAGACCCACGGTCAACCAAGGGTCAAACTACCCAAACTTGGTTGCAATTGGGTTGTTGATTTGTGAGATTATTGATGTCTGTGATAGTTGGTTTTATTAAGCTTTCATGTCTGTCAAGGTTTTTGAGTCAGGTACTTAGACGTAATTGACCATTTGATATGTAATGTGATGGTTGGAGCCTATTTTGGTGTTGTGCTTATATTCATCAGGTATTGAGATGTAACCATTTGATAAGGCATGAACAAGATATGCTTATGAGTAACTTGTTTTTGTAACCTGTTTTTGGTATCCAATGAACAAGATATGGTTGTAACATGTTTTTGGTATGATGCTTATCAGTATGTCACCATTTGATATCCAATGAACAAGATATGGTTGTAACCTATTACTGGTTTACAAAGAAAACTCTAAACTCTAAATTCTAAACAAATTACAATGAACTAATGCTTACTAATAAAACTCAAAACAAATTACATTGTTTTTCAACCAAATTACATTACATTGTTTTTCCACCAAATTACATTACATTACACCCATTTGATATCCAGTGAACTACTGCTACTGGTCTCAAGTAGCCCAGGCCTCTCAATCACATTACACCTACCAAATTACAAAACATAATACTCTTAATTCCTCCTAATTCATCTTCATGGCAAACACCACCAACCAGGAAAGCAACATAGCAACCCACAATATTTTTGACTTTGCTCGAATCTTGCATTTCCCTTTTCCACCCTATCAATGTTCCTCAGCAAACTAGGTAACAAAGACTTTGAACACTCACACATTTCTGCATCAAACCACTGAAAAAACCTACGTCCTTTTTCACCACTTCCCTGTATCAACCAAGAACAATGACTGAAAATTTGATCAATTTGATCAATGACTGAAAATTGATTAATAAAAACTCTATCAATTTGTGATGCCCAAAACAATGACTGAAATTTGATCTTAAACATTCTTACCTTTGACTTTGGGCAAACTAGAAATTTCCGCCCTGGGTTTGAAGTGGTCCACGAAGTCTGCATCCGTGCTAACTTCCCACAATGACATCATTGGGCATGCCTTGCTTCTCCTGTTTCCATCTCTTCTTCAATTCAGTCAGTATTCACACAGAGAAGAACCAGCTAAACCTCCAAATCAGAAATCCCTCTGCCCCTTTTTCTCCCAAATCGAGTGACCCCCTTCCCCCTTTCCCAAATCCGAACTCCACTCAGAGATTCATAAACCCTAATCTTCTACTCCAGATTCTCCCAATTTCGAACTCCACCTCAAAGTTTTGTAAACCTGTGATTTCTTCTCCAGATTCTCCCAAAATCCGAACCCCACCTTAGATTTTCATAAGCTCTAGCCTTCTTCTCCAAATTTCCCCTTCTCACCCAAATACCTTTTTTTTTTAACTGAATAACCCTTATTTTCCAATGTTAAGCAATTGAAAAGAAGTGGGGCCCAAATCAAGTAAAGGAACGTCTCTTAATACTGACGAAACGAGTAACGTGAGACAGTTTTAAAAAGTGTAGGAGGTATTTTAAGACGTTTCAAAGAACAAGTGGTAATCTAAGACAACTTTAAAAACACAGGGGGCATGTACATAAATAAGCCTTTATCTATTAGTCTAACATCAATCTACATTTTATCTATTTCTTCATGTGGGGTCATTTAGCTGACAGATGGAATGAATAAATAGAAAATTTAAAAAATATTATGCACTTTAACATAAGTAGGGCATCGACGTGTATCAATTTCGACGTTCTGCTCACCACAATTCAATGCTTTCTATTTTCTTTTCAAACGCCGTATAGAGAAGGCTTCTATTTTAATGACTGCTACGTGTCTGCTATGTGATATTTCAAAGGTAGGTGCCTTCATGTGGGACAAGGAAGATTAACATGATGAAAAGAAAATAAGTTGAGCATATAAATACATGAAGAAGAAAAAGCTAGCCATACAACCTTATAACCCAATGCCTCATATCTTCCTTCTCATCCTCTTTTTCTCTTCCATTATCTCTGCAAATATTCATATGCATGCAACCAAATTGAGCGCGGCTCCCTCTTGTCCTTCACCCTCACACTATCTTCTCCTACTTTAAATTGTAGAGATTGAGTCCATTAGGGATTTGATTGAGATCAAATCTCCTCATTTGATGATGACAATATCTCTTAATTATGATAATATCTAAATTGGTGGTATTATCTTATTAAATAAAGATAATATCTCATATTTAAGATATTATCCTTATTTTTAGTATTAATTAATTGGTCAAATAAATGGACTCAATTCATTAACCTAAGGCATATTCTTCTTATATCCATACGGCGTCTTGTTATTGGAGAGGAAAATATATGCTCACACAACTATCCTCCAATTTTCTTAGAAAAATCATCAACAAGAAAACAACTTGGAACTTGGACCTTGATTCACATATCAGCCACTTGTTAAGTCGTGATGAACCCTCCAAAACAAAAGATGAAATTTCAGCCAATCGTACTCTTTAAGATCTTTATTTCCCGAAAATGGAATCGCTTCTTGATAGTCTACAAGTACACATTGTCATCACAATATGACAATATATATATATATATACATATATATAGGGCCAGTCTTGAGATTTTGAGGGCCCTGTGCTATCCTTAAACTAGGGCCTCACATAAGCTAACACAAACTTACACCATTACGTAATGCCATACAACAAATATTTTTTTTTTCTTAAAGTGACCAAAGTACCCCTACTCCCAAGGGCAAAATTGAAATTTCACAAAAGAATTAAATTTGATTAAATCGATTAAATTGTATCAGGGATATTACACCTTTTGAATAATCACCATGATTGTGACAATGAGTCTTTGTCGTAATAGATCATATTCAAATATTAAATATTTTTTAACACCTAATTTATTTTGTATCAATATTCCAAGAACACCATTAATTGGATGCGACTTTTTTGGTTGAGTTAGTTGGATGCATTATTTTTGCAAAATTAAATATCTTTTTAAAAACATAATTTATTTTGTATCAATATTCCAAGAACATCATTAATTGGATATGACTTTGTTGGTTGAGTTAGTTGGATGCATTATTTTTGCAAAATTAAATATCTGAGCATATATAAAAACAATTGTTTACCACTTTACTAACTACATTTATAATTGAGGTGAGCCCTATATATGGAAGTCTTATCTCTATGGGTACTTGAAAAAAAAATTCTACATGAGTAATTGAAGAGCATCAAGTCAATGATGGGGAAGTACGCACGTGACAAGCAATGTCTGCACAAAGGAATATAGATATTATTGGGGCCATTAGAATATACTTGCTGAAGAATATATATATATATATATATATATATATAGTGCCATGCATTCAGTTGAGAGATTTAGTGTCATCATTTGAGGAATGAGGTGCTTAGTCGTTGGATCTAGTTCAATGAAATCATGTGGTTGAGATTGATATAAGTATTTAAACTTGTTTGTGTCTAATGACTTGCCAACAACCCACATGTATGTATGTTTTACTACATAGCAAGGCTGCTGTAACTCGTCCACGTGTTATAATATGGATGGGCGATATGGTTAATATTTTCCACTTTTATGATATAATATCAATAAATATCCACTTATATATTCTAACAAACGAGTTATACCATGTGACATACTCTCATACTATGTACACTATAATTACTCGCACTTAAAGCATCGACAATGGGGTCCCTAAACCACTTCCTTAGACAAATTTTAGGGAGGAATTGGAAAAATACAACTCCAACCATGCTCCCTATTCACCTCCTAAAATAGAGAGACCTCCAAGAACTCCTAAATTTGAGGAGAGAGAAAGAACTCATAATGGCTCCTTATAATTTAATGATGTTTCGTTTTATGCATAGTTTAAACTTTTAATTAATACAAGCTTTTTTTTTTATTTTTATAGAGATGATAACCAATCATATTGAATTAAAAAATAACTATAGTATTTATGACTTCCCAACTTAGGGAGTATGATTGAAGTTCAAATTTTATAGAGTTCCTAAAATAACTTTTGTGTGTTTTTAGCTAAATTTTAACTAAATAATAGGGAGCATGACCTTTGCCTACATAATTACTGACTAATTCCTTGTAATCGAGTATTTATTATTTTAGTATGTGGTTGTGAAAGTAGCTGGGATATTGAATGTTGGTGTTGACATTGGACAAGCTGCTTTAAACAGTGGTTGCAACATTATGTGATTGACAGACAGCCGAGTAGTTTTTATCTTTCAACGAAAACAATAAGTTTCAAAAAAACAAACCAAAATTTTAATTTGATCCTAATTGTCATTATGGTGGTTTTGCTGCTAGCTAGGTCACATTTGCATATGACTCTGTTCTTTAAAGAAATTTTACTGGTCCTATACGTAATAAATTTTCAACTATAATTTTTATTCTACTTTTTGCATTTTGATATTTTTTATTTTATTTTGTCATTCGATAGGGAGGGAAATGGGGGAGTATTATATTGAGTTGCCTCAAGATTGTCTTTTACGTGAATTGAACTCGGGTATATATATATATATATATGTAATTAGTGCTATAGCTTGAGGACGAAACTACTTTGGAGTAAATGCTAGACTTTAAAATAACAAGATCTTCGCTTCGGATTCGTTAGTGGAAACCTCTCTTCCACGTACATAAGGGTGTGGAGATCTCTCTTCCACGTACATAAGGGTTTGGATATTTGTGTTGTGTGGGTATGGTTGTTTGCCCAATTCTCGGTTTTCAATTTAATGATTTGACTATTGATAAAGATTTCATTTTCAGGCTAAAAAGAAGGAAAGAACATTTACTTAGTCATGTCTATATATATCGAAACCTGTAAGCAATGTAAATACAAGAAGAAACACAAACTATTGCCATGAAGCCATATAACCCAATGGCTCATATTTTCCTTCCTATCCTTTTGTTCTCTTCCATTATCTCTACGAATATTCATGCATGCAACCAAATTGAGCGCAACTCTCTCCTGTCCTTCACCCTCACTCTATCTTCTTCTCCCTTAAACTGGACTTCATCAGTTAACTGTTGTCAATGGAAAGGCATCACATGTAATCAGGATGGTTGGGTGACCCATTTGCTCTTACCCTCGAAAGAGCTCAAAGGAGGTATTTTTCCTTCAACATCATCACTTGGAAATCTCACACATCTCACCCACTTGAATCTCTCTCACAATTCACTTTATGGATCACTTCAAACTGAATTCTTCTCATCCCTGAAACATCTTGAGATCCTTGATTTGAGCTATAACCTTCTTTCTGGAGAACTACCACTTTATCTACCATCCAGCAGTATCAAGAAACTGGATTTGTCAAGCAATCAGTTTCATGGTGCAATTCCATCTTCATTCTTCCAACAAACTAGTAATTTGATTAGTTTTAATGTCAGCAACAATATTTTATCAGGGCCCTTCCCGTCCTCTATTTGTCTCAAACATTCTTCGCGCTTGATTAGTGTTTTGGATTTTTCTTCCAATAAATTTAATGGCAACATTTCACGAGGACTAGGGGAGTGTTCCGAACTAAGGGTTTTTCATGCCAGTCATAATAACCTCTCAGGGTTTCTTCCAGAAGATATCTATAATGCTACCAAACTTGAAGAACTGGCATTAGCTCTCAATTCACTCTATGGAGCCATTAGTGATAGAATTGTCAACCTCACAAACCTTGCAATCCTTGACCTCTATTATAATCAATTAAGTGGTGTCCTCCCTCTCAATTTTGGGAAGCTGTCCAAGTTGAAACTACTGAACCTTGATTTCAACCACTTAGAAGGTGTCTTGCCCCCATCTTTGATGAATTGCACAAACCTGATTGAAATACATCTAGCATCCAACAACTTGGAAGGAGATATCTCCACACTTAATTTCTCCAAACTCAGTGAACTTACTAAAATTGATCTAATTAGGAACGAATTCACCGGTATCTTGCCAATAAGCCTTTACTCATGTCGGTCCTTAAAAGCCATTCGATTGTCTGGAAATGATATAAAGGGACAAATACAAGCTGAGATTCTTTCATTGAAATCCTTGTCCTTTCTCTCGCTTGGCGGCTTAACCAATGTCACTGGGGCACTGAAGATATTAATGCGTTGCAAGAGTCTTCAAACACTCGACCTCTCATATTCGTTTAAAGGCGAGGAAATGCCAGCTGATAGTGGTATGGTTGATGTTGATGGATTCCAAAATCTTCGATTACTGTGTTTGTATTATTGTGAGTTCACTGGTCAAATGCCTCTTTGGTTATCCAAACTCAAGAATCTAGAGATCTTGATTCTGAAAGGTAGTCGAATTACAGGGCCAATTCCTAGTTCTTTGGGGACTCTTCCAAAACTCTTTTGCATAAGCTTCGCTGACAACCAAATTTCAGGTGAATTTCCAAAAGAACTTTGTGGACTGCCAAGGTTGGTGCATGAACCTACTGCAGCTCAAGTAGGAGACGATTATCTTGAATTTCCTATCTTCACTGCCTTTGCCCAATATCTAATTTTTTACCCTCACAGGTTTTCTAACTTCGCACCAACAATAGACCTATCTCTCAATCACATTAATGGCAGAATACCTTCTGAGATCGGAAAAATGCGTCTTCTCCACAAGTTGGATCTTAGCATCAATAACTTCTCCGGCAACATTCCAAATGAAATATCCAACCTAAAAAATTTAGAGAATTTAAGCCTCTCTATGAATCATTTGTCTGGACAAATCCCGTCGTCATTGGCGAGCCTCAGTTTCTTAAAATCTTTTAATGTCTCATACAATGATCTTGAAGGACCAATCCCAACAGGCACTCAGCTCCAAACTTTGAATGCTTCTGAATTTAAGGGGAACTCAAAACTTTGTGGTTCTCCACTTCCAAATGAGTGTCTAAACAGGAGCATCAATGTAGATAATAAGAACCACCTAGTTTTGGACAATGAGCATCAAATTTCATGGTTTTATATTTTTGTCGTGTTAGGTTTCATTATAGGATTTTGGGGAGTCTGTGGTTCTTTAATTATTAAGAAGACATGGAGATACACGTATTTTCAATTCGTAGACAATTTACAAGATAGGCTCTATGTGATGATGACAGTGCACATGAGAAGAAGGCTTAGAGGCTAGATTGTACTTTTATTTACAAGTTCATTTTTCTTTTGTAACTAGACTGTGTATATATGTAGGGACGTGTACTCTCTTGCCAAACAGAACATATTCCATATAGAATATACTAAAGAATAAAAAGCTGTTTTTGGAACAACAAAGTATTCATCATGCAATCATCCCAAATGAATGAAAATACATAAATTTCGGAATGCTAATAACAATTACATATGTTATATAGCCAATGATAATTGGAAGTACTATGTGCCGTCTGGAATAAGAAAAAGGAGACATAACCTAGTCTTGTGAATTGCCCAGTATTGGTGTAGGATATAAATTGTCTGCGGCTATGGCTTATATGAAAGAAAGTTAACGCTCCCTCGGAACCGGTGTGCAAAGGAAATACGCTAAGACTTGTGGACAACCAAAGACTAACCAAACACACTAATTAGAACAAGAACGCTGAAGAAAATCAAGAAACTAATGTTGCAAAGAAACTAGTTGATGGAGGATGCATAGGACCTAAATTGTTTAGTTTCCTATATTCTTTAGTTTTCCAAATCCTAGTAGGATTTCTTTGTTTAATTTCCTATTTTATTTGTTAGTTTCCTATATTCTTTAGTTTTCCAACTCCTAGTAGGATTTCTAAGTTTCCTATTTTATTAGGAATAGGATTTCTGTTTTAGTTAGGGATTTTAATCCTATTGTCTTTAGGTTTTAGTTTGCTATAAATACCACTATGTAGTTCTTTAAAATTCAGTTTTGAATATTGATTAAACCTTCTCTTAAACTCTCTGATTTCTGCCTGCCTTCTATCTTTTCTTCCCTTCAGCTTCTCTTATTTTTTTCTATCCTATTACTCTAAATGTTTAAACTAACACACCCAGAGCTGTGCTACATCACTAGTTCCTAGAGGAAAGATTGTACTTTATATTTTACAGTTCCAGTTGTGGTTGTTCTCATAATAATATGTCTTCTTTTTCTTTTCATACCATATATTCTTCATATTAAACTATATAAAAAACATACTTGTGACATTTCACTCCAGTCCAAGATTTAGTTGACAGACGGTAGCTGATCCTATTGAATGAATTCGATATGAGGGTTTAGCAATGCAAAATGAATAGGAACATAACATCAATTAATAATGTTGAGATCAGGCATGGCTCTTGTCAATCTGAGGTCATGTCTGGCATGTCGTATATGCGACACTTAATCAGAATAAGATATGGTTGTAACCTATTACTGGTTTCTATTCATATCACAGTACAAAGAAAACTCTAAACTCTAAATAAATTACAATGAACTAATGCTTACTGATAAAACTCAAAACAAATTACATTGTTTTTCCACCAAATTACATTACATTACACCCACTGAACTACTGTTATTGTCTACTCATCTCAAATTACATTGCTTACTGAACTACTGCTACTGGTCTCAAGTGCCCAAGCTTCTCAATCACATTACACCTACCAAATTACATGTCAGCAACAATATTTTATCAGGGCCCTTCCCATCCTCTATTTGTCTCAAACATTCTTCCCGCTTGAGTAGGGTTTTGGATTTTTCCTCCAATAAATTTAATGGCAGCATTTCATGAGGACTAGGGGAGTGTTCTGAACTAAGGGTTTTTCGTGCCAGTCATAATAACCTCTCAGGTTTTCTTCCAGAGATATCTATAATGCTACCAAACTAGAAGAACTAGCATTAGCTCTCATTCACTCTATGGAGCCATTAGTGATAGAATTGTCAACCTCACAAACCTTGCAATCCTTGACCTCTATTATAATCAATTGAGTGGTGTCCTCCCTCTCAATTTTGGGAAGCTGTCCAAGTTGAAACTACTGAACCTTGATTTCAACCACTTAGAAGGTGCCTTGCCCCCATCTTTGATGAATTGCACAAACCTTATTGAAATACATCTAGCATCCAACAACTTGGAAGGAGATATCTCCACACTTAATTTCTCCAAACTTAGTGAACTTAGTAAAATTGATCTAATGATTAACGAATTCATTGGTATCTTGCCAATAAGCCTTTACTCATGTCGGTCCTTAAAAGCCATTCGATTGTCTGGAAATTATATAGAGGGACAAATACAGGCTAAGATTCTTTCATTGAAATCCTTGTCTTTCCTCTCTTTTAGTTTCAACCAATTGATCAATGTCACAGAAGCAATGAAGATACTAATGAGTTGCAAAAGTCTCCATGTACTCTTCCTTACGAATTCCTTTGAAGGTGAGGTAATGCCAGGTTATGATGACATGGTTGATTTTGATGGGTTCCAAATTCTTCGGTACTTGAGTTTGGCCAATTGTCAGCTCATTGGTCAAATACCTGTATGGTTATCAAAGCTGAAGAATCTAAAGATCTTGAATCAGGAGAATAATCAAATCACATAGCCAATTCCAAGTTGGTTGGGGACTCTTCCTAGACTTTTTTCTCTAAACTTGGCAAGTAACCGAATTTCAGGTGAATTTCCAAAGGAACTTTGTGGACTACCAAAATTGCTTTATGAACCTTTTGAAGAAGACACTTACGAACTTGAATTGCCTCCCCTCGGCCACAAACCCACAAATCCAACTTTTCTACCGCGCAGATTGTCTTTCAATCCAGCAATGATAGACCTATCTCGCAATAACATAGATGGTGATATACCTAATGAGATCGGCCAATTGCACCTTCTCCGCTTGTTGCTTCTTCACTCTAACAGCTTCTCCGACGTCATTCCAAACCAAATATCTAACCTTAAAAATTTAGAGGAGTTAACCCTCTCCATGAATCATTTGTCTGGGAAAATCCCATGGTCATTAACGGCCCTTAATTTCTTGAAAAAATTTGATGTCTCATACAATAATCTCGAAGGACCAATACCAACAAGCACTCAAATCCAAAGCTTCGATGCTTCTGCATTTGAGGGGAACCCAAAACTTTGTGGTGCCCCAAGTTTAAATAAGTGCGAAACAAATAACACCATTGATGCAGATGGTAAGAACAACAAACATGCGGGCTATGGGCATCAACATCATCTTCCATGGTTTTATATTTCTTCTGTTGTGCTAGGGTTCATAATGGGATTTTGGGGAGTATGTGGTTCTTTAATTATTAAGAAAAGATGGAGGTATGCATATTTTGGATTCATAGACAATGTACAAGATAGGCTCTATGTGATGATGAGAGTGAGCATGAACAGGATGAAGAGAAGGCTTCGAGGCTAGATGATGAGAGTGAGCATGAACAGGATGATGAGAGTGAGCAACAAATACGACTTGAGCTATATATATATATATATATATTTTGCATGCGACTGGAAAACTCTACTGAATTTGGCCAAAATCATGAAATATTGCCATGAACCTATCGAAATTCAATTATGGGGTCAACAGCGCAACGGCTTTCATACTAAAGCGAAACTTAACATTTTAGTGCAAAAATTGATCGTCTGGTTTTAGCCATAGAGTCTGCATGGAAGAGGAAACATACCTGCAATTAGAACCATATATGTTTTATATAACTCAAACCCTATAACCATCTAAAAAGATATATATTCCAGGTACCTCTAAGAGTGTTTGGGTATGAAGCCTCCCTACAGAACTTTTAAAGCTCCATCCATCTCCATGCATGTATGACAAAGCATTATTATCATGGTCATGCATAAATCCAATATGTTAGTTCATTCAATTTTCAATAATCCTTGTATCTTTTCACAAAGAAAATTATTGGAAAAGTATAGAATGATATACACCAATTGACAAAAATACCTACCCCTCAAACAGAAGCATATATTTCAGCTTCAACTGCAAATAATGAAATTACAGATGAGAGATCAAGATCGATTAATTCCCATATATGCATATATATTTCAGCAAAGAACACATTCCCATACGCATCATTCAGAAGTTTTTATTTTTTTTGGTTTGGTAATTATTAAACATGCATCTAATTGATCTGGAAAATTAAAATAAATTATTATGAGGATATGAGTTGCAACAAGAAATGAATAGAATGTTTATTTGTTTGCCCTTCTCTATAATCTAGTTGCTCATATATATATAAACCTGTGAACAATCTGAATTGAAGGCATTGATCCAGATAACAACCGAGATGTGGCCAATGGGCACCAACTTCCATGGTTTCATATTTTTGTTGTGCTAAGATTCATTGTAGGATTTTGGGGAGTCGGCTTCTTTAATTCTTAAGAAGATGCACATTTCCAATTCGCAGACAATGTACAAGGTAGCATCTGTGTGATGATGACAGTGCATATCAGCAGTATGAAGAGAAGGCTTAGAGACTAGATATATTGTTCTACTTGTTATTTCAGATTTTCAGTTTGGTCTTCTTTTTTTCCTGTGTGTTTCTGATGTAAGGCATAGCGTCTTCAGATATAATCATGTCTCCTTTTTCGGATGCAATTTCAATGCCCTATCTTTTGCAATCAACAAATACAACTCCATGAATAAACCTAAGACTTGGCCAAAATCATGAATAAACTGCCATGAACCTATTTTTCAACTATCAGCCGTTGATTAATTACAGGACCCAGCTGACATTATGTTGATACAAGAAATAAAATTAAGATATTACATCACCTAATCTAATCCAAGGCATTGGGGTATCTATTGCACATACAATACACACGCTTAAGTACGAGTATCACTAAACAAAATTAAGCCTAATTCCATCGCAAAATCAGTTCTGTGGTCCACGGGCTTCATCTGCTAAAGCCAAACTTAACATTTCAGTGCAAAAATGATCATCTGGTTGTAGCCATAGAGCCTGCTCAGGAAAATGAACAAAGGAAAACAGATTAATACCTATGCCATTATCATACTTTCTTCCTGCAATTAGACGAATTTCATATAACTCAAAACACTATAAGCATCTGAAAAAGAGATGCACTCCAGGCCCGTCAAAGCATCTTTGGGCATGATGGCATCATACAAAATTTTAATGGCTCCGTGCATTTAAAGTTTATTATCACGGAGCATAAACCACATAAATATTTTGAACATCATAAATTATGCACCCAAAAAAAAACACAACAAAAAAATCCTTTTAAGATTCTTAAAGCAACACATCTAATTTCCTATTCACTTAACCAGATACAGCATTCAACTTTTAGGAGAGAGAATAATTACTCACTTTATGATAGTATGTAATCGCTGCAGTAAAATTATCCTGCACAACAGTGAAAACAAGAACGAAAAGAAACATCAAGTATTGTGACCATAATGGACGGGGATGAAAGGCACTTATACACTCTTTTTCACATTTCAGTGTTTGAACACAAGCTTATAAGCTGAGTCAGAAAGTGGCACATCAGTTTTTCACAATCCACTTCATATGAAAAACTTCTTCTCTAATAATACATAAAGTAATTGACAACTTTAGATACCTGTAAATGGTAGCATATGCAAGACCTGCATAAGTACTCACACTTCTGGTTGACAATGCAAGTGCTTTCTCATAGTATGAAATAGCTTCATTGTACATCCTGAGAGAGAGTAGGTTTATCTAATTAGGCCTAAGGAAATATTCTTTGTAGGAAATTAAAATCACCAAGATAAATAGTAGACAGCTGTATTAAAAAGCTACAAAGAATCAAAGCAACCATAGAACATTCTCCCAACCCCATAAATCAAAGATACAATAATCTCCTAGTAAAAAAATAAAAAAATTGGAGCAGAAAATAATTAAAGACACTGTATATCCCCAAGCCCTCAGAAGGAACCAACAAAAGAAATGCTATAAACTATAATCAAATAAAAGACGTACTTCAGTTTTCTGTATGCATGAGCGAGATTAACCACAGTTGGTTCCCACATTTCGCTTAAAGGGGAAGGAATTTGAGCCAAAGTTTTCTCAAACCACCACACAGCTTTGTTATACCTGTATGAAAAGACAGAGATTCATAAAAAATCACTTAGTACAAATGAGACAGGTATGGCTTAAAGGAATATTTATGACAAATGGTCAGCAAACAGAACAGTCTAAAGAGGTAAAAGAACATGCAAAAGATTCGATAATACAACCTAATAGTCCACATAAATGACAGAATATCATAAACTTCATGCTGTAGCAATATAAATGAGCTAAACAATGATTATACAACATAAGGGCCCCAAATTTTAAAAGTTCTCAAGTCAAATGACACCATGTTAGTGATCACTATTTCCCTTTCTTTAAATTATAAACACTACTTCCCTTTCTGGAAATCCTGTTTGGGCTAATTAGAATTTGATATGTCTATTCGTAGGCAGCTTTAATGTACCTATTCTGAGCATAGCTTTCCTTTGGTTTTCATTAGCCTTCACAATAATTTTTTTTCTGGATCCATCATAGGACCACTTATGCAATTTTAAGGATCGCACCCGAAAATTAGCAGTGTGGGTATGAAAAGAAAACAACCAACTATCACCGCAATCTGTTCAGCAAGCTACAACTTACATATAGTCGTAAGAGAATAAATATGACAGTGAGAAAAACGAAGCACTAGTCCTCCAGATAACTATACCACCGTGGGCCACTTGATTACTTATCCCACTGTTATAGCAGGGTTAAAGCATGGTAGAGTTATAGTAATTTGCAACAGAATATCACATTTTATTTGTTACACAAGAAAATTTTGCCCGTATGGTCCTTATTTGTAAACAATTAGAAATACATGGTCAGCCTTTTGGAATGTCATTACAAACTTATCTCTAATATTCATTGTTTAAGGTTGCATTTTTTAGCGTGCTGTACTTACTCCTTCAAATGATAAGCAACAACACCAAGTTCATTATATACTAGTGGATCTGATGGGCAAGTGGTCTTCGCCTGCATAAAAAACTAAAAAGCAAAGAGGCAATATCAGTACTTTTATAGTATGATAAAACAAAATACCAAGTTGCAGAATCCATTGTTTTTGGGTGGGAAATGTATAATCATTTAATATAAAGACTTGTTTTTGAGACTTAATGGGTAAGACATAAGGTAGAAACTCATGAAATAAATGTGCCACCAAAATTCAGGGCTTCCCTTGTATGATGATATAGATGTAGATTATTTCACATTTCTGGACCAAAGTCAAGATCACAAACGGCAACAAGTGGTTTACAGAACGGTAAGTTACCTGCTCAGCAAGCTTAAAGCTGTTGGTTCGCATGTACTCCATCCCAATGTACAAAGTTGGTAAATGACACCTGGAATAAGAGAATATCAAGACCTGTAAAAGACAATTCATACATAATAAGAGAACTTAAACTATGGACCATTGGACAAAAGAGACAGATGAAATACCATACTAGGTAGGTTTGCAGCCATGATAATGACCATATAACATAAGACAATGAGTTTAACACAGAGGCAATGAATACACCAAAGTTACTGCTATGACCTTTTCTTTTTTACTCTTGTAATAGTTAATTGTGGCAAAATCTGATATCTGAATGAAAAAATGAAAACATGCTTAAATATTACATACACAAAATATGTTTCAGATCTAACTGCAAAACATTTGAAAAGTTTCATTCAAAATATTCTGATTAAGATCATTAGAAATTCATTTTGAAAATTTTGAACTCTCAACACCTATACCTTTGCTGTGCTCTTGAACTTTTCTTGTAATACATTTTCACTCCGATGCCATTAACAAATGTGCACAGGTAGGTGTATATATATATATATATGTAGAGAGAGAGAGAGAGAGAGAGAGAGAGAGAGAGCGAGAGAGAAACATAGAAATTAGGTGATGGTTCATAGTTTCATTCTTTCCCTTTTTTTGGGGGGGTGGGGTGGGGGGGTGGTGGTGGACTTCTATTGTTACTCGCAAAGCAATTCTAGAAGTGGGCATGGTAGAAAAAGCATACACAAACACTACCACAAGTAACCAAGAATAGAAACAATATAAAAGAGAATGATACAGATAAAGAAATATCCAAAGGTTCTCTTTAGAAAATAATCAAGCACAGGTAATGTACACGACATGATCATATATACTTCCTTATATTTCCAAGTGGAAGAAGAAGAAAAAATTCATCCAAGTGGAAGAA